GGGAAAACCCATGAAACAGCAAACGGCCACATAATGCAAAACTATTTAAAATTAAAACGGAACAGTAGAGAAAATCCGATCAGAATGACAAAATAAACTAAGTATCTACTGGAAGGAATCCCAATATCTGCAGACGGATCCGTTTCGGCCTTCTAGGCCTCATCAATGCAGCTGGGGTATAGACCCAAATGAAATGTTTGACCAGCTTAGGTAGGGCCCAAACCAGTCCCACGACCACTAATGAATAATGATTAGGTGTCAAAAATAAAAATGTGAATGATTTTTTTTCTTATTGGAGACAACTGTTGATACAATAAAAAAAAAAAAGTGTAGCCTTAATAGGGGTTAAATTGTATTGCTTTGACCATTTTGCACACTCAGAAAGTGTCTCCGTTCCCTTAATAGGGGTGTCCCAAAGGAGAGGTTCTACTGTAATGGCACTTTAAGTGATAATTATATTGCTCCAATGAGAGTGAGTCTTATAAACAAACAATAACAATATGTTAACAATACAGATCTGTCAACCCGTACGCATTCGCCGCAAGTCTTACGCATTCCAATCAAATTTTACGATCTTACGCAAACACTGGCAAAACTTAAGCTTATCTTAAAATACGAGTAAATGTTGTTTCTTTTTCAATTTGTAATGAATTTTACTATAATTATTAACATCCATCATCATAATATTCTACCTCCAAGTTTCAATAACTACTGTATCTGAGATCATTATAAACTCACTAATATCGATCGATATGCCATTTTAAGCCAAAGCGTCCAGGGGCATTCGACCGGGAGCACTTGGGGGTCCCCTGGCCCCAGCCGCCGTTCGTACCTTCGGCACTCATTATGTGTCACCCGATCTTACTCTTTGAAATGTCGGGGCATTCAAACTTTGACCTCAAGTAGACCTGAAACCACTGTGTCAAAACCTCTCCTACTTACAATATCAATCTTCATATATATTCAGTGTTCAGTACCTACATAAATGATTGTACTTTCATGTTTGTGTGCTTTTTACTCATTGATTACCATTGCTGCTGAGTTTATATTGCACAGTATGGATTTTATTCAAAAATGGGTCGTGAGTGCTAAGGTTACTAAGACATTTATAGTGTCATTGATTCATATTATAAGCAGGCTCTGACCAAGATCCGTTAAATCCATGTAAGTGTCCAACTCACGTTCCAGCAGGATCTCTGTAAAAACACAAATGTGGAAAAAATGAGAATAATGTATATACAAATGATAAAAGCAAACGCCCCCAAAACAAAATTGAAGCAAAAAATCACGCTCAAGTACATAAAAATCACCATTTCACAATAAACTTATTTAATCAATTTCCTTTATATTTTTGGTTTACAATTCTCATTTTAAAGACTGATTGAAAAGTCATCAAGTACAAGCAAGCTTTAAGTTTTGATGCCCTACAAAGAAATAACAATAATAACTACAAAATAAAAATAAAAAAGATCATAATAGAAGACAATACACTTATAAATCATGATTCTTAAAAAAATCATGAATCTTAAAGCCACATATCACTTTATATTGCATGTTAGCACTCACTCACTAAATCATCGAGCCCCCTCCCCCTATTTCAAGACTCTAAGATACGCCACTGCAAGGCAATATCTTTAACAACAACAAATATATTATTAAATATAAAATACAAACATGCTATTAGCTTCATAAATAACTGCATTTTATACATGTATATAGCTAATATATATGATTTTACATTACGGATATAATAATAATTAATAATAATAAATTAATTTATATAGCACAGGTTCCATAAATAAAATGTTCAAATGTGCATTACAATAAAATTGATAAGTAAGCACAGAAAATTTACAATGTAAATATTAGTTAAAATTATGAAGAGTTAAAAATTTGTAAGTAAAGAATTATCATCAAAGCTAAAATCAATAATTAGTTAAATATATATTTTCAGGCTCCGCCTTAAAAAAAAATAATTGAACAAAAAAATAACCATATATTTTGGGTCAATTTGGCTTGGGCAAGAGGCCTTTTTTGGTAAAATAAACATTAAACATTTATCTGCTTTGGTATGCAATCAAGAGTCATTATTTGGTAAAACTACCATACCATATATAATTAATTCAAAATACTTTATGAAGATGATGATGATTATGACAATGACGATAATGATTATGATGATGAAGATGTTGTTGATGATGAAGAGGACGATGATGGATTATTATGAAGATGATGATGAAAATAATTATAATGATGATGGTGATGAAGATGATGTTGATGAATGATGACGATGAGGACAACAATGATGATGTTGTTGATACAAGATAATTTTATTCTTTGAAAAGTCAGAAGTTAGTTTCCACTGACAAAGAATAAAAAACATATACAGCACATTAATAAATAAATAAATTATATTCAAGATTAGTATGTAACAATATAAAAACAATACAATATCTATACATGATATATATAGCACATACTGAAATCAGCATTTAAATAGGCCTAAATTGCACTTAAATTAACATCTTAACATTAGTATTGTGTAGATGAATACAATTAGGGAAAGAAAAAAAGAATTTCTATAGCGGCAGCCAGGAATTACTAAGAATAAAATCATTATGTAGTGGATGAGTCATGTCGTTTATTTTCTTTTTGTCCTAAATATCGCCTAGGTGTACAATATCCTCTTTAATTATTTGTTAATTTCGTATGTCAGTCAGTTATTTACATTTTGTTTTTTAGGCTTTTATAAGTACAAATTAAACAGAGTTTAGAACGCTCTGTATTATTGCTCTATAGAGAAAGATGATGGTGATGATGATGATGATGATGGCGATGATAATGAAGATGTTATGGTGTTTATAACAAAATCTACGCACCACCTACTGTATGTGTAATATACCTACATTTTGTCGTCTGTAGGGCCAAACATTGAAATCCTGGCCTCTGGAATATCTGTCCAGAGCTTATAATTGCTGCTGGAGTTGAAACGTTTCAGATGGCCACAGCTTATGCACGTTACCACTTGGTGTTGCTCCCTCTTGCCTAGTGGGAAAAATTGATATAAAAATATAATTACACTTGTTTCTTAATACTTTGGTTAATCAATACAAATTTTGAATTAAAAACCAATTTGTTTTTTAATAGATGTAATTTAAATTCTGGTTGATTCAGGCAATTCAATCTCTTTTTTTACCTCTTTGTCTTGAAATGGCTGTAACACCTGGAACAAGGAGTAGACTACACTTTTTGCAAATTGTCCTTTTAATTTCTGGCTCACTGTAATCGTAATAATAATAATATAACGATAAAACAAGTCACAATAAATTACACAAAGAAAAAAGTTTCCTATACAAAAAACTGTTGTCCGCCTACATATTATATGATGTACCAATATATGGTCATCATGATCATATTTATATTTATGTTTTTGTCAAATAAAATTAGTCTGCAGGCTTTTTTAGAATTGGCTGTACAGCACTGCTGACCACTGGGAAATGACTCCTACCCAGGATGAAATGCATTCGTCTTTAAAACTTAACATAGAAATTAGTGTATTTAAAAAATATTTGCCAGTAATTTTACTGCAAAAAAGGAGAGATACACTAGTCACTGGAAGTGTTTTATTATTCTTATTATCATTATCCAGTAGAAAAATCAGGGTACACATTTTTTTTAAATTATGTATGGTACTGCAAAATTAGCAGTTACAGTAATTTCAAAATTTTTCTTAATGATATTTTTTTTTTAATTTCCAAGGGACAATGCATGGATGTATGCAAGAAGGGGGGGTGGGTCGAACCCCCCCAAAATTTTTCAAAGGTCCACATTTTTTCCAAAGACATTTTTTTCTAGGGCCTTTTCACAATGATGACATCAATGAAAAAGCATTGATGAGGTACCAGCAATGAGTCCAAAGACCTTGCCAATTGCATGACATAATCTATCTTGATTCCAGAAATTCTGAAACTGAGCCTGCCATCCGCTTCAAGCTGGTGGCGCTGTAATCGATTTTCCTGTCTCCCACCGAAATGGTCTAAAAAATTATGATCACGGCCCACCCAGTAAAAATCCTGGATACACCCTTGCAATGTATCTTTAAATGTGTGTCAGTAGTCCTGAAAGATATTACAGATCATGAAAAAGGTACTTGAGTCTTACATTCTTAATACCAGTCGCTGTGCTATCATCTTCATAGTGTATATATAAAACCGAACTAATTCAAGATTGTCAGGATCTTGTTTAAGCGTCAAATGAGCAGCCTGTGAAAATCAATGAGTGAATGTAAACCTCTATCCCCACTATCATGAAACAAGTTTGTGTGAACTGCCAATAACGTATAGCCATGATGATGTCATATCATGTCCATACAGTATATGGGCAGGATGATGTCATACCACATCCATGTATGGGCATAATGATGTCATATCTTACCCATTTATGGGCAAATCACAGATATTTGTCACATAAATTATGTACTTTTTGTCCTACTCCAACAGGGTGGGAATGTTACTATTGAGCTTTACTGCAATTACAAAGTTTGTATAGGAAAAATAAGACAATTAAAGCCATCTTAAAAGGTACAGTACTATATAACTTCCACAAGTTTTACTTTTTAGTAGAAGCTTGTTAGGGTACAGTATATAAGTGACAGAGGCAAACAGCCCCTAACCAGTTTGACAATGATCAATTAGTACTTACTTTGATTATGGGAGGAAGGAAGTGGTACACTAGTTGGATCTGAGGGATCTGATTGGATGCTATGGACTGGATTAGGACCAGATTGTAAAATAACTATATTTATGTTATCCCCTTCGCAAGAATTAGGACTAGGCAGAAAAAAAGGGCTGATTTTCATGCAATCTTTGCAAAAAAACATAGGAATTGGCCTATCTCCTACAAACAATGTATTAGTTTATGTTTATGCCTAGTTGCGTTTCTGCGCACCTATTTTCCTAGTGATTTTTCCATATAAATTTTAGTGTTTTTAAAGATATCCTTTGTGCAAATAAAATACTTCACAGTGTGAAGTAAAAGTAAACTTAGGCTAGGCCTACTTACGTCCAGGCCTAACTAACATACATTGGCTGAGTATCTAGTGTTGGCCTACCTCTACCAAGACAGAGCTGGCGCTATTCTTTTGGTTGTGGTAAAATCAGTCTTTTATTTAGCCTGAGTGATTTTCCTCTTCTTTAGTATCTCAAATCTTTTAAATAACGACTAATTACTTTGCTTAGGCACCTTTAATATATTATCAAACATCGATTTTCATAATTTTTCTAACGATTCGAGTGATTTTTGTGGCTAGGCCCAGCAGTGTCAATTATGTCTAGTAGGGACTCTGAATCAGTAGGGGACAAGTGTGGAGCTTGTTATGCTAAGGTCTCTGATAATGATAAGGCTCTTCAATGTGACTTTTGTTCTTTATGGTTCCATATATCTTGTCAGTCGATCAATAAGAAAACATATGAATGTCTTAAAACAGGAATTTCTAGTATCCATTGGTATTGTAGGTCTTGTAATGTCACAATTGGGGAGTGATGAATTCCCTTGTGTCTATTAAAAACCCAAGAAAAAATGCAGAATGAGATCTCGGAAATTAAACGTAACATGGAGGCAATTGTATCCAAAGATAGAGATTTTATTGATGTTGATAAAATTATTGAAAATAAATTTGAAGAACAGGAAAAAAATAGACATAAAAATAACTTAATGATATATAGATTGGAGGAGTCAAAGAGTGATGTAGCTGATAACAAAACAAAAAACAAGCAAGAAAAATAAAAATTTTGAAAATAATGTTAAATCTATTTTTCGTGTAGGTGCACGAGGCGTTAGAATTCGACCTATTAAGGTCATCTTTAATAATGAGCAGTCGAAAAGGAAGACTTTTGAGATAGCTAGAAAAATGGATAGTGCAGTCAGTAATGATAGAACCCAGAGCGAACGTGAAAAATTTAGGGTTTTAAAAGAAGAATTAAATGAACGTATTCAAAAAAGGAGAGAAGGACTTAAGTTATTAGATACGGAAAGATTTCTAAGAAGAAATTTTGTGTCTAAAGTGAATACAAGAAATAATGGATATAATAATAGAAGTAATGTTAATTTATCAGAAAATATTGGCTCAATTTATAATTATAAATTCATGTATACAAACTATGATTCCTTTTTAAACAAGAAAAGCGAGTTAGAGAATAGATTATCTGTAGAAAAATTTGATAAAGTATCAAAGACAGCGTGCAGATTTATTGCAAGTGTTTAGAATTGTTCATGGTTTTGATAATATTTCTAAAGATTATTTTTTTTATTTTAATGTTGATAGTGCCACTAGATGCCATTCAAATTAAAGCACCATTACTCTAGAGCTAATCTGAGAAAAGGGACATTCTCAAGGCGAATTATTAAGAATTGAAACTTATTGTCTGAGGAAGACGTTAATGTTACATCCCTAAATATGTTTAAATCTGTAATTGAGAGGCATTGGGCTGACCACCCGGTAAAATTTGCCCCGTACACGAAATAGTATAGATTGCTCATCGACTCTCGAGGGGCCAATAAGCATTGTATGCTTGGCTTCTATACTCAGGTAAGTTACATCATGGGAATCAAGTAAATCTACGGCCAGACCTGTCACTCACCACTAAGCCCACACGCAAAGCCAGCATCAGGCAGCCTAGCTAGCTAGTACTAAGAAGTAGAAAGTAGGCATATTACTACTTATTATTACTATTATTACTACTACTACTACTAGGCCTACTAGCCTTATGCCTAGTCTTACTTTCTAGGCCTAGGCCTAGTTTAGGCCCTAGGAGCCTAGAGGTTAGGCTAGTCGAGTCTTGGATAGTTAGTAGGCTAGGCCTATTTATTGATCTGGAAAATCAGTTAAATCTAGATTGTAAAGGCAAATTTACCTGATAAAGAAAGTTCATTCTTTGGAACGCATCTTTATATGGCTGTTTTCGTTTACCTTGGTACCATTTTCGTTCTTTAGATTGTTTACCTGCAGGTGCCATAACTTTGTATAGAAAATCGTCGATGATGTGCTCTGCGTGCTCAATCAAGCATGTCGTATCGGAAGCGAAACCGAGCGGATCCGATTCCATTCCGAGAGGACTTTTTAGAACACAACATGGCAGCTTACATGAAATTCATGTGCTGCGGTAAGTGATATGATATTCAATTTATTTGTTTTTGTTTTTTTTTTTTAAATAAAACCACTCTGAAATTTTGACTAGTTACACCAACAACAGGCTAGGCCTATGCATGCTATAAATAATAATTAAATACCTGCCTCCAGCTAGGCCCAGCCGGTACAATTTTCCATCCATCATGTCTCGCGTACTACTAGGCCTAGGCCTACTACTTATACTACGTACTACTACTACTAGGGCCCCCTAGGCCTGGCCCTAGGCCTCCTACTACTAGACACTCAATCGAGCGGGTATTCTATGGAGCTCATGCTCTAGGTGCGCGCGTTAGTTTGCGGCTCTCATTAGATCCTAGCTAGCTAGGTAGGGGAACCAGTCAACTTTTTATGGGCGAGTGAGTTTGTAAGGGGCGAGTTTGTTAAGTTAAGGGAAGGGGAATGTTTGTAAGTAAGGGGCGAGATTGCAAGGGGCTAGTTTGCTAGGGGGTGAGTTGACTGGCATCCGATCCTAGTAGTACAGTGCTGATTAAATTTTGTATCCATATTTTTCATAATTGTTTATTAAAAAAAGTAATTTTAATATTTCCTGTTTCAATAATTTTATGACATATTTTATCAATTGTTGTATTTAATATATGTGTAGATAGGCCTAGATGCCAAATCAAATGAAATCAAATCAATCAATAAAAAGTTGTACTTTTTGTAAAGTTGCTATTTTGTATTTTCTTGTGCCTTTGGAAGAAAATAAATGTTTTGTTGAATTAAATTGAATTGCCAAGCTTCAGGGATTTTACAGGTCCGAATCCGATTAACCCTCTCTGTATGATTACAGTATTAAAAATTTGAATGATTTCCCAGAAATGTTTATAGTCATTCAATAGTTATTTTTTGTTATTGTTTAAGTTACATCTCTTGCAAACTTCAAATATTAAAAATAGAAATATGTGATTCAGTCATTGGCGGCTATTTACAATTTTGATGAATAAAAAACTTGGAATCGAATTAGAATTAATGAAATATTCTAATTCCCACAACATAATACTGTATGACCCTTCACCTTAGGGGCTCTTCCCCCCCCCCCCTCATTTCAAGACTCCTAGATACACCACTGGTCTGAACTAAAATATTTTGATATGAAATGCCATAACTTGAACCTTCTTTTGAAAATTTGACTTGCTAGGTGTTTGCCGGCAGATGTATGTGTCATTGCCTCGTATAGGAAGTACACAAAGATTTTCCATCGCAACTAATCAGCTTCCAAGGTCTAAATTTTCTCTCCGTCCTAGAGTGCGCCATCTTTCGTCATCATTTAGGAAAGATTTAAGAAAGGTAAGACACAAGTACTACACTACCATTTTTATGTAAGATTTAGAAATAGAAAGTATTAATAAGCTCAAAATTGTATTCTATATTGCAGTTCTCAGACTTTATGACTGATGACCCAAACAAACACCTAGGCAACTTGCTGCTACATTACCCATATTTCGGAACGTTATTAAAAAGTATACTCAAAACATGTTTTGAACTGAAAGGTCCACTGATTAATCTCAGATAAGAAAATATAATACATACTCCAAGTATTGAAATGCACGCCATCGTGTTGGGATTCAATATTTCGCCATTAATTATGTCATCATCAGAAAATGAAAAATTTCCTGATGATGACATTATTAATGTCGAAATATTGAATCCCAACAGGATGGCGTGCATTTCAATACTTGGAGTATGTATTATACTTTCTTATGTTTTGAACTTGTAAACAAAATTGAAGTAAAAATTTTAAATGATATTTTACTGTACTGGAAAATTTGGCAGTATGTAAACTTCATTATGTTCAATAGTCTTGCAATCCTCTCATTTATTTGTAATTGGCAACCCTTTAGTTTGAGGACTACTACTTTGTGTTTTATTTTATTAAAGCCATACAAAAGTATAGAAAAAAAAACAAAACAATAAAATTGTATTGATTTTTTATTAGAATTGCACTTGTTGAATGGATTGAATAACGAAGGTTTCTTTTCTTGTTTTTTTTTTTTTTTTTGCAGTTGACAACAAAAACACCTCAACTAGCAACTGCCGGTGCTAAACCATTAAAGGAAACCAAAGATACAATTGATAAAAACTATGAAGTAAATAAATCATGTGATTCTGATAAAATACATAGACATTTATGTGAAGATGAAATAATAAATAGAAAAAGCAATGAAAATGATTTATCAGATAGAACATTACATAAAATACAAATACCGGGTCATAGGTTACGACCTAATGAAGCTAAGAAGGAAGACCCATCGGTGGCCGACCAGTTAGTGGCCCACGTTGTGCCATGTCCTATAGAGCCAGATGATGGAAATAAACAACAGGTTACTGAACTCCCGAAGTGGGTCGAGAACAAAGTGCAATTAAGTGACCTGCCTTCATTATATATGCAACTCTCAAAAAGCAGACTTACAGGTAAATTTATTTGACCTTTGGTCATTATATGCTTTTGCAAATTATGAGATGTTTTATCTCATGTCATGAGGGAGTTTATCAGTTGCAAAAGGAAAATTTTTGAAATTTTTTAAAATGAAATTTTAAAGCTCAAACAGTTATTTTCTGAGATTTGTGGATATTATTAAAATAAATAAATAAATAATTTTAAATAAATCATTATCAGTCCAGTATAAAAACTGAATATCATTACTAGTACTCTTGTTTATAATGTATTTCAGGTTTGGTTGTGCTATCTGCAATGGCAGGCTATGGTATGTCATCAGGGGATTTTGTGCCAACGACCTTTGCCCTCATGTCTTTAGGAACATTCTTTACATCCTGCTCAGCCAATGCAATGAACCAGGTGAAGTCCTTATACCTCCATTGTACACCTAAACCTCTACTTTAATATGCATATATTAATTGTGTTTCAAACTTATTTGTACTGTATGTTTTTGTTTATGTTGTTACAAACAATATAAACCTAGTCATCCTAGGCATAAAAATGTGAGGTCACTTTGGCTTTGTAAAAACATGAACTAAAATTTTGCATGTACTGTAGGTTCTGTCTGATGTGTAGTTAAATTGCTGGTAGTATCTTACATTTTTGATGAATAATAAAGAGATGTAGGTGGTAAAACCAATCAAAAAATACAGTCGTCAAAGCATGGTCTCGGACCAAGTCTCTACACTACTACCAGTCTAGCCTAGACCATTAAATTCCAAGTGCTGTTACCATGGTTTCTGGCATTATTGTAACCTGTTAACCTTTTGTAGCCTTTCCAAAATTAATTCAACTTTTTTTTTATCTAGTTTTTTGAAGTACCTTTTGATTCCCAGATGCTAAGAACAAGGAATAGAGTCTTAGTACGTGGACTGCTCAGGTGATTATAATTTTATTCATTTCACCAGTAGGTCTACTATATAATATAGACAAGATGTAGTTATTAAAGAATTTCCTATCATCATTACTTGGTAGATGAGGAGCTTACTGTTGATTGACAGATAAAATACATGCCGTCAAATCTTGATTCATGGGTGAAAATTCACAAATAAAAATATATTTCCATTCCCTTTGCCTGTTTTAAGGCGCCATGTACACCAAAGGAAAGCAAACCTTGCACCAACCTTGAGTCGTTTTATGAGAATGATAATGATGTTACATTGAAATATGTCTGCTCATAAATAAATTTGTTAAATCATTCGTTAAATTTAATCTTATCACAAACCTTGTATTCTCTGTAACTTAAAGATCTCATATTTCTTTTTAAAGTAAATTTTTAACCAAATTTGTGCTTGTAATCTTTGTAGCTCTACACATTCTGTGGGGTTTGCAGCGATAGCTGGCCTCTCTGGTCTTACAATCCTTGGACTCTTTGTTAACCCCCTCTCAGCAGTCATCGGCATCACCACCTGGGCCCTCTACACCATGGCATACACCCCTTTGAAACGGATCAGCATCGTTAACACTTGGGTAGGGGCAGTGGTTGGGGCATTGCCTCCTCTGATAGGATGGTCAGCATGTTCTGGAAGTTTAGAAGCAGGTACATATTTATTGAAATGGGTTCAGCATTTGTGAATTAATAATGTACAGTAGGCAAAGAGGAGGATTGGGAGTATTGTTGGTGAGCATTCAATGGAGTCTATTGTGTGGTGAATAGTATACAAATATTGATTGCTACGTTCTCCACTTCTAGAAGGGGCTATCGTTCCCCAAATCTAGAGCAGTTTGTATTTGTTTTATATACCCCATACATAGATTCTACAAGGCCTAACAAAAGTAATTAAAAGTGCACCGACCAAGTAGAGACCTTATGGTTGTCAAAGGACCAATCTCTCTTCTCGTAGTCCCCTTTAACGTGCATGCATGTCATAAATTACACAGTGACATTCAGTGGGTCCTAAAGAGATTACATTGCGACGGGACAAAAAAGTACTGTCATTTAAATGTGATAGTACTTTTTTCCCCAGGAATTGATGAAATATCATTCAAACTGCATCATAAGTTAGGAGTGATAGTTGAAATAATTACTTGTTGTTTAACCAATCAGATGCCTGGAATAATCTATGTATGCGGTATATAATGCAGTATATAGGCAGAACAAAATATATGAAATGCATAGACGATATTAGCACTTATGGGTCTAACATATTAAGAATTATAGATTGCTTCAATTAAGGAGTATTCACACAGAATCCAAATATTTGGATCGGATATTCTACCAAACCGATCAGAAAATTGAATTAGTATGTCAAATGTTTCATTCAGCGCATCAGTAGCCTACACTGATTTTTGGTTCAGGGCAAATTTGAATGCAGCTTTAAAACCAAACAATAATATAATGTTACCAGAAAAATCTTATGAGACATAAAAGGATATTTTGTCTATTATGGAAATTATTGATTTCTTATTCAAACTTCCATTGTTTTTGTTTTTTTATATATTTTATAGGTGCGTGGGTTTTAGCTGGTATTTTATATGCTTGGCAGTTCCCACATTTTAATGCTTTGAGTTGGAATCTAAGAAAAGACTATTCCCGAGGTGGGTATCGCATGATGGCAACAACCGATCCAGGGTTATGTCGGAGAGTCGCTCTTCGCCACTGTCTTGCAATAACCGGTCTTTGTACGCTAGCACCTATGATAGACTTAACAACATGGGCATTCGCATTGGACACGTTACCCATAAACCTCTGGTTCTTGTGGCTCAGCTGGCGCTTCTACCAAAGGGCGGACTCACAGTCTGCTAAGCAACTGTTTCGTTTTAGTCTGCTCCATCTGCCGCTCATTATGCTGCTCATGATCATTAGTAAGAAGAAGTTAAATCCAAGTAGCACAGAGAAAGACACTTTAGTTAATTGGAGTATTAAAATGGAGAAAGATGTAGTTTGAAACCAACTTGGGTTTATGTAGTCATCCTGTGGATTGCTATAATTTTTATATGGCTTGCCAGTGGCTTAACAACCATGAGCTTCTAATGGCTGAAAGAGGAGTGCCAGACCCCCGTACAGTAAATAATTTTTTCTAGGCCCATAGGCCTTAAATGGGCCGATTGGGGCTGCTTAATGAGAAGAGCGTGTAAAACTTTAATATCAAAATATCCTCTTTACATTTAGAAACACTTGAACTGATGAGAGCTTTGCTTCTTATCCCTCTTGGACTCTATGTGTCCTCCCAGCCCCCAGGTTTGTAAAGCCCAAGAGCCTTAGCCAGGGACCTCAGGAGAATTTGTTAAGCCAATGGGGTTTGCAACTCAGTCTTGACAATCATCAAGATGGATACAGGTGTATTTGTTATGCCCTGTTCCTCCATCCAACTTTGGCCCTAGAATTGTTACTTGTAACTGTGTGATATTGTGTTACCAGAGCACCTATAGTGTAATGTATTAAAAATTATTATTTTACTTGAAATGTAATGTATCTAATATGTATGCTGCATAAAATCGTTTTGTTTTAAAGAATGGTACTTAAAATTGGGTACATAACCACATGACTGAAGGTGTTGATTCATTATGTTCATTTATCAACATGTAGACTGGTTAGTATACACAATAAACTGCCCCAACCAGGGCTGTTCACTTGGCCTCTAATGTGTGTAGGAATGCAGTGTGTTCAATTAAGAATTTCAGAAGATGAAATTTTATGGTTTTAAAACAGTGACCTATATAATGTGCAAACTGAAATGGCTTTTATGCTCAGGAATGAATTGTAATTTTGAGCTAGCTATAGCCTAGAATTGCACTTGGTCGCACTTTGCAGCAGGTCAATCGCAGACTCTTACTTAGTCTGGCTGTAGCTTAACTATATGTAAAGTCTCAAAATTTGGTACTAGTATCTTTTGAAGCTAAAAATTACAAATGGAAAAGTACCTTTGGAAATTGATATAGAGTAGTTAACCAGCATTCCAACTAACCAGTGGCGTATCTAGGGGTGCGAGGCGGTGCACGCCCCTCCAAAAATTACTCAACCACTTTCGGACACCTCCCCCACAAAAAATAATCACAGTCAAGTTGTTAAAAAGCACCTAAAATCACCTCAACTGATCATCGCACCCCCACCCCCGATTTCACCTTTGCGCTCCCCCATTAACATCCCCCACTTCAAAACTCCTAGATATGCCACTGTACCCAACACTTTCAAAAAGTCTGAAAAAAATCACTCTGGAGAAAACATGCTTTTTAGTTCAATCTAGCACCAAGCTATCGATTAAATGTCAGGCCAGGATCCTGGGATTAAAAGCAGGAATCCCCAGGAGTTTGAAGAAGTCACTTCCAGGAGATCTGGTTAAAAAAGCTTCCTTAACACATCTTACTATATTTTGCTGTGCTTGGTGATATCCATCGGCACCGAATTGTGCGAGACAAATAGTAGTCAAAAGTCAGGCAGATATTTTGAATTTTCGGGAGACGAGTTATATCTTCCGGAAGATTATTGCTTTCTTGTGGGAGTGCGGGAGGCCGTCCTGATTGCCATGAGACTCCTGGGACTCCTGTAAAAGGTGAGCATGTTACCCACCAAACAATGAACTCAAAAGAAAAACCAAAACAGGAGTCCAGAAAAAAAGATGCAGAAACTGGAGATGTCTGCTTCTGTTGACTTGGTGTTTAAAAGTCATAAGAGTTTTGCGAGCTCTCTTACCATCTTTTGGTGTATAGAGGGTCACCCTCTTCATGGTTTAGGAGATATAAATACTATTTTTGACAGTATTAAAGCATTTTATATATTTTTATTTTTGGTGATTTATGAAAACAGCTGCTTTGTGTAGCACAATTGGTATAAAATGGTTTATTTTCATTTTGTTCACAATTTTTTGGGACTATTACTTTCAGATTACTCGTTTCATGTTGGTGAAATCAAAATTTGTTGGGTTGAACTTTTGGTGCAAACACCAAGGAGAACCCATGAAAGTCTTAAGATTCATTTCTAGTGGGGTTGTTTTGGTAGTGATTGGGCAATACACCAGAAGACCGCCATCCTGTACTGTACTCTGTACTCTGCCAGGACCAACAGCTAAAAATGTCTCTTCCGAAAAAACGATGCCTGTGCGCTTTTTCATACTTGCATGTTAGCCCTCAAGCTGAAATACAATGAGAGCAGAAGATATACTTGACACATAATAGCTACCACCAGTTTTGCCAACTGAGTGTTCCGATGGGGGTGGGGGAACCACAAAATTTTCAGAATAGATAAGTGAGTATCGCTCATTTCAATACAACATTGATATTTTAAAATTCAGTGGTCAAACAGTGGGGAGCGTGCACGTGTCCCCCGTATTCTCCTACTGGGTCCGCGCCTGGAGCTACATTTCTGTCAAACAAAAACATGAAGTAAAAGAACGTGCAGTAGTTTTTGCACACCTGTGATATAATATTCTTCTTTGCATGCCCATTTTTGTGATTCTAGTTCAAATCCTGGTAAATTTTAAGTCTCGGAGAATAATTACAGTACTAATAAAATTTCAATTTACATCAAATAATTGTTCTTTTATATGTATGTGTTTGACGGTAACATTTATATTTAAGTAATTTTATATTCAGCAAAAGTACACAAAACAAGGAAGTACAGTAATGGAAATTGCGTGTCAGAAATATTAAATGAATATATTCACTCCAACCTGCATCTTGCATTATATATATTTACGTGATAAATTTTCCAATATTGTATTACAAAAATGACTCCATCTTTTGCAAATTTATCTATCGGGACAATTTGAAGCCAACTTCCTGCACCTACAGCCCAAGAAACCAGATGTTTGGTTTGTTACATTGATGATATTTCCATGATCTGGACCCATGGTGAAGATAGTTTGGATATGTTCCTATTGAACATTAATTCAGCTCATCCTGCAATCAAATTCACTGAAACAAATACACTAGCAGTATAGGCTTTGGACATTACCGTGACCATGGAAAACGGTGCACTTAAAACAGATCTCTTTCGTAAACCCACGGATAAACATGCATAGCCGGCGGAACTGGGGTGGGGCCCCCCAACCTTTTTGGGATAAAATATATAATGTCTGGAGATTTTTGTATGATCGGAAAGAAATGCAAGAAAAAAGAGGGAAGAAGGAGAAGGATGGGAAAGAGTATCCGCATTGGCGGATCTGGGGGTGGGGGGGGGGTCATGAGTCCTGACCCCCTCCATTGGAAAACTCAAAAACAAAAAGAAAGTCCTGGGAGAACTAGAATCCTGCTTTTTCTTTGGGGTTCATTGATTCATGGAATTGTTTTCAAGAGGGGAAAACCTTGAATTTTGAAGAAATTAAAAGTCATTAAAAGACATCTCAGAAGTCGGGAAAGCTCTTTTCCCGCCTTCTAGGAATCAAAATTTTCCCGGGGGAGAATCCCCCGACCCCCTTCCTCTTTGGGATTTATCGATTCATGAAAAAAAATCGTATGCAACTACTCATTTTTTTAAATGTATGATACACACATAAGGCCTATTTACTGTAATAACAAATGAAACAATTTACCTGACCGTTTTCAAGAGTGGGAATTGAATTTTGAAGAACTTAAATTAATATCGCAAAAAGATACTTCAGAAGTCGGAAAAGCTCATTTCCCAACATTTAGAAATCAACATTTTCCCGGGGAGAACCCGAACCTCCCTTTTCTCTTTGGGTTCATTGATTTAAAATAATTTTCAAGAGGAGAAAACCTTGAATTTTGAAGAACTTCAAAGTAGTTAAAAGACAACTTAGAAGTCGGGAAAGCTCATTTCCCGCCTTTTAGGAATCAAGATTTCCCAGGGGGAGAACCCCCGGATCCCCCTTTCTTTTTGGGATTTATCGATTCATGAAAAAAAAAAATCGTATGCAACTACTCAATTATTTTATGTATGTTAAGGCCTACTGTTATAACAATGGGAAAAATTTACCTGACCGTTTTCAAGAGGGGAAAACCTTGAATTTTGAAGAACTTCAATTAAAGTCGCTTAAAGATACTTCACAACGTGGGAAAGCTTATTTCCCACCATTTAGAAATCAACGTTTTCCCGGGGAGAACCTGAACCTTTCTTTTGTCTTTGGGTTCTTTGATTCATTATAATAATTTTCATGAGGGGAAACCTTGAATTTTGAATAACTTAAAAGAAATTAAAAGACACCTCAGAAGTCGGGAAAACTCATTTCCGCCTTGTAGGAATCAAAATTTTCCAGGGGGAAAATTAACCTCCGGACCCCTCTTTCTTTTTGGGATTTATCGATTCATGGAAAAAAAATCGTATGCAACTACTCTTTTTTTTTAATGTATGTATACCGGTACACCCATAAGGCCTATTTACTGTAATAACAATGGGAAAAATTACCTGACCGTTTTCATGATTGGAAAACCTTGAATTTTGAAGAACTTAAAGTAATTAAGACACCTCAGAAGTCGGAAAAGCTCATTTCCCTCCATCTAGGAATCAAAATTTCCCCGGGGGAGGACCCCGGATCCCCTTTCGTTTTTGGGATTAATGTTGACCCCACCCCCTAGATTCGATTCCAGATCTGCATGATATATTCCTATTTTATACCCATCTAGATGTGTATAAGAGACAGCCCCCCCACAATTTGAAAAACGTTCCGCCGGCCCTGATATGTACCTGCTCCCTAGCAGCTGTCATCCCCGCACTGTACCAAAAACATTCCATTCAGCCAAGCATTGCGCAAAGACGCAACTGTTCTTCGGGTTTTGATTTTTTTCAAAATCGCACAGAACTATCCAGACATCTCCGGAATAGAAATTATCATCGAGGACCCATCGAAAATGCTATCAAAACAGCAAAGGGTAAAACACTGACGTGCCAAACCAGTCAACGATTGACCAAAGTGCCAAATTCACCACCATAGGTTACCACCACTAAGGGCTATAATTCAGAAACATAATTATGCCTATTAGACCACAGGTCTTAGGTCTGTTTTCCGGATACAACGTTCATAGCCTATCTCAGACCACCTAACCTTTGTGATATATAAAAGAATAAAATATTTCCTATATAAAAAACACCGCAACTTCTGTAGCTTATTCAATTTTTGTATACACAGCTACTTCCAAATTTATCCTATGTGTAAATGTTGTTATCGTATTTAAGTTAGCTGTTTCAATAAATAAATCTACAATTAAATTAAAAAATAAAACTACAATTTTCCAATAGATCAATAAATCAGCTATGCTTATTTATTGTTATGGATAGGCCTAATTTTTTACTGTGCACAATGATGTATATGAATTGAATATTATTTTAAAAATAAAATTGATGTTAAAATAATAAAATGATAAAACGAATATGGAATTATCAAAAAAAATATATTGTGTAACGCCAGAGCTTCCGGGGGCTACCCCCACCGGGGATGGGCGCCCCCCCCCCCCGACCCCAGCATAGTACGCTTGGGCTACGACCCAAGACTTCCTTATTTTTGCAATTCGTCTTCCCGCTTTTCACAACGGATTGACGCCCTTGAACGTTTGGCAACAATAGCAAAATAATTTAATTACGTAAACAACAAAGTCGAACGGTTTTAACGAGACGAGTCACTGAATTCAAAAATAGAAATTTGATTTTATACTGACACTGACGAAACCAAGTACAAAGTTGCATCTTTTCTCCCACGTGACGACTTACTTTAATTGAAAAGAATAGGCCTACATTACAGAAAAATACATTCCGAATTCTACATTGAACATGATGCTCGGTTCTGTTCGGTAGGTTTTATTTCATTTATTCAACCACAATTTGCATGATAACCCATGGAGTTGTGCTATCCTGTTCCATGAAACTTGGTTCAGCATGATACCTTCACTTCTCGTAAAACCTGTCAAACTTATATTTTACTTCCTCTGAAACACCACATTTCGAAAGCATTATCCTCCTCTTCATGGCTTCAGTTATCCACAATTCACATCCTTTTACACTGACAATACGTAGCAGCTTACTTTTGTTTACGAGTCATTTTACTTTTTAACATTGTTTTTTTTGTTTTCACAGAAGGCCTATCTAGCATGTGCTATTCTGTTTTTGATTTTATTTATACACTTTCCATTCACTAATTACCATCCGTTGTAATTCTTTTCTGATTCTGCCAATAGTACCATTAATTACTGGTTCGCCATTTAGGCCTACGTCATTCGCCAACCTATCATGAAGGTGGAATCTAAAAATGGGAGGTATCCGGGGAGAAAATTTGTCACATAGCACGAAATGAAATTCAGAGGGTCTATCCTTATTTACTGTCTTCATTTTTAAGTCATATTTAAACGCTTAAGTGATTGTTTAGTCGATCGATGTGGCCGTGATTTATAAGTATCGGTTGGTATTGATTATGTTGGTAGAGTATCTACAGGGATCAATAATGTCGGAATTTCTCTGCCCATTAAAACGTTTACGTTGTGTTGTCACTAAACGCCTATATGAAGCAACACAACATTATGTTATTTGTATTCGTATTAACCAGATTCCTTAGCAAATATTCACACATTTTACGAGAGCAATAAATAAATTAATCCAAATTAACTTTTATTAACGTAATCGATCGTATCCGCCTGTATGGAATGAACGAGCGCCATCTAGAGTGTACATTGGTTGGTTAGGAGATGAGAAGCCATGGCTGGATTGACAGAAGGTAATGCTTTTTTACTCTCTGCACAATTAGGCTATTTGCTAAGATACTGATGGCGATCGATAACATTGACGTACTTCGACATACACTATGGTGAGAGTGATGTATTCACGAGGGCTTCTTTAATTTGGAGGCTTGCTTGTTGTAACCAAAGCTAATCTTCAACAGAATCCTACTGCGCTAGGCCCTCCTAGTCCTACGTTTGTTTGTGTGTGTGGTGTGATTGATGTTTTGGTTAAAAACGGTAGGCTTACTTTCTTGTGATTGCAATCTCGATACTTAGCCTACTCTCTGGTTTCCAAATGTTGGCATTGAACTTAAGGGAGGTGAGTTTGCTCAACTTGTTGTACCTGCACAAATCATACAGTAACTGCTAGTCCAAACGTCTAGCCTACAGTGTCTACAGTACTACTGTAGGTAGGGCCTAGGCCTAGGCCCTTCCTATGGGGCATACTACTACTATTACTAACGATAAATACCCAACTAACTAGGCCCTAGGCCTAAGCCGTGCATGTGGTTTTTCTTTATCAATTTAATATTACCTGTCTGTTGAATCTCTGGTAAAAAAAATGTTAACCTGTCAACTGTCTCGCATACTGCAATGCATGAGTCTCGCGCATCAGCATTCCACTTTTTACGTCTTAATGCGTGAGTAACGCATGAGCATCCACTTTTTAAGTCTTACACCTACGTTGTATTATTTCACGCATTATAAACATTTTTAAAGGTATTGTTTTGGCCGATTATACCCTAAAATTTAAAAAAATGAAGTGAATTCGTCATTAAAATGTCAATACAGCCATATGAACTTATTTTAACAAATCTTTACCCGATCGACGACTGTAATCAGTAGCAGTTCCACCAATAGAATTTTAGGCTGCTCTAGTTAATGATTTTTACATAGAGGTCGCTATATACAAATTTTATTTTTTGTTTCATCAGATAGCAGGTATACAAGTTTGCATGGAAAAAATTGTGATAAAAAAATTACAATATTAATATTTTACGTGATAATTATGTACCATTGACTTTCTATTCACAAATGTATGTTTCATCTATCAATGCCATACTGTATTGTATACATTTCCTATGTGTTGTTGACTTCCTGTGTTGTACAGATACAGGGGTGAATTTTTTTTGCCACCACGCCCACATCAGCCCCACCATGGTTGGTGTAAATAAGTGGGAAATAATCACCCGACCCAATGCTTGATCGCCACTGAACTCATAGGTACCGTACTCGCGCGAATAAGCGCCCGGGCGCTTAAAAAATATTTTTTGCACTTTCTGAGGGGCGTTTATTCAAACGGGGTGCTTATTTAAACGGGGCGCTTATGAAAACAGAGTGGAAATTGAGGGGGCGCTTATGGAAATAGATGAAAATCGAGGGGTTCCAATGGGAAATTATTTTAATAATTAAAAATTCAAGAGGCAATTTTGAATGAAAAAAAGATTATATAAGGATATTACGAATGGTGGTTAGAGAAGATAATCGTCCAGAGAACATGGTTCATAACAAGAATGCGTGAATATTTACATAACAGCAAAATAGCAGATGCAATTAGTGGTGTTTAGTGGTTTAGCTTGTTGGCCATCGGCCGATTGAAACTAGCAGGATGGCAGGATCCTTGTATTTTTCTTGAAAACTCAGATGAGAATGTGCTTAAGGTCGAAAAAAGAAAAATAGGAGTAGGACTAAACTAAGACATAGACAAATATGTAAAAAGATTAAAGTTGGAATATACTGTCTGTCCAGGGATCGGAGCTCTCATCTGTCCAAGAGAAATATCCTTATTTTGATATTGACTAAAGAAGAATGTGTTTCCACTCTACAGCTCAAATCATGCCAACAGCCACAGTCCCAGGATTGATTGGATTATTGACTTGCTAAAAACAAAATCTTATGAGGGGGCGGTTATTCGAGAGGGGCGCTTATTCAAACGGGGCACTTATTCGCGCGAGTACGGTACACTCCTTTTTTCCTTTTTCCTATTTTTATCTCCAATTTTTTTTCACTTTTTTTAATTTTTTGGCTTGACTGACAGGGGGAACGGGCCCTCCGCTGGATCTGCTCTTGAGATATTGTGTTTTGAATTCACAATCAGTGTTACATGGTTGTTGGCTGCTAATTCATAATATTCTGCCTCTGGAATTTAGCCCTTTGAACAAGACAGATAAAATATACTAAATCTAGATAAGAAGACCAGTAGCTTGGACTTTAGTACTACCAGACCAGCATTCAAATCTACTCCTCTACCATAATATTATGGGCCAGCTGGTACCACTCCCCATTTAAGATTACATGATGAGTGTTATCACTTCCCTTGCCAGCAACACACTCCCTCCCACAGCAGGCTTACTAAAGACACCATGCAAAGACCAGCTATTTGATAAGTAACTTTTCCATCACTATTTGTGGCAAAGACAAGCCAAACCAGTCACTCGTCGCAAATCGTGTTTCAGAGAAAATGGCCAAAACATGCTGGAATGTCAAATTTTTAAAAATCTAATTTATTGCACTAAACTTTATATATCTACACATCATTCTATGCTGTTAATTTCCCCATTTTGAACGTTAAAACAACACTTTTTAAGGATTTAAAGATAGTTTCTGCATGAGAATTTGCCTGAAATCATAAAGCTGATTTCTCATATATTGTTCTTTAAACAGCTGTGTGGTTAAACGCTTGTAACTTCATAAGGAAATGTCCGATTTGAATGATTTTTTTACTATTTTGTAGCTATTATTTTACTCTCTAATACTGTATTAATTTAGTTGGCAAACCTCTGAATTCATAAACCCTAATTAGATTATAAGTTAATCAGTATGTACAGTACACATACAGCATATCTTTGCATATTGAAGTCTCCTCATAAGATCATGATTCATAATTCCTTCCCTACTTTAGTCCAATTTCACATACCAGCAATTCCCAGGTGGCACAGGCATGGATCCCAGTTTCCCACCCCCCCACTTTTTGGAAAGGAAAAAAAAAAAAAAAAAAAAGAAAAAAAGAAAAAAGGGCCTCAGATTATTTTCAGGCGTAACAAATAAATTTCATACTTTCGGCCCTCTTCCGGTCCACTTCCCCCCTCCCCCTCACCCCTTTTGGCATCTCTTGATCTGCCCCTGTGGCAAAAGCCCACCGTACGGTTTGAAATTGGTCTTTTAGTTGGTAAAGTACTGGTTGGTAGGTGGTTTTTTTACAAACACAAAGGCGGTGCTAGGATTTCCCCGACAAGGAGCGCGAGGTACCACATGGGAGGGCTAATGTCCCCGATGAGAGCAAAGTGGACGCGGTCCGCCATCACTCAAAATTTTTCGAAAGCGGTCAAGGGAGCGAAGCTACCGTAAAATTCAGTATTACGATTAAATAGGGGTTTCAAATACTTCTACTTTAATTAATCAATTTTATTGATAAGAGTCAACTTATTTGAAAATACATACAATTTTGTCTGCCCGACGGTGGGGGTGGTGGTGCCTGGCTCCTTTCCCCCACTGGTGCCACCCCTGCACGAGCAAAGAATTCATCTCCCAAAATCAGCCTAATTTTTTAAGGGTAGTAGGCCTTAACCCGAGGAAGTATGAACTGTTTGTACTCCCACTGCTCTGTAATTGAGAGTAATCAGAGAAATACTGTATCAGGAAAATTACAGGGTTTTTTTGTTCTTTTTTACTTCAACAGCAAATTTTTGTTGCTAAGTTTAAGAAGACTTTTAGAGACATTTCCCAGAGTGATACCTTGATTATTCATCAGATTGTGAATGTGTGAGGACTTGATGTTTCTGTTCCATGTCCCCCTGTCAATTGCGACAGGACTACAGCACTTCAACTGGAGATGCCTAGAGATCTCTTTAAGGAATTGTCGAACCTGGTGAAGATTCTTCACTTAGGCTGTCCAGCCTTCCAGTATGTTCAGTTGCTTATCATCCTCTTTGTCTGCTTTGCTGCACAACCTACGACCAATGCCACGTCCACGCTGTGTTATTTGGGCCCAAACAACTGCAGTTGTAATACTACTGCAGAGGATCTGTACAAAGTGTCATGCGTTAATCTGAATTTCTGGGAGTTTCCATCTATTTCTGAACCTCTAGCAGTCAAGATCATCTATCTGTAAGTTACCTTTGAACATTTTTCTTTTTGCATTTTCTTTTTCTCATAGGTAGTCTATATTCATTGTGTACTCAAAATTAAAGTACTGTAAGTAGACAGTCTGTTAAAGTTCGTTCAAACGAGGGACACACAAGCTTTAGCGTTATAAGTCTCTAAAAGGAATAAAAACCTGATTACCTAGAAAATTATGAAGAGTTGTCACAATAGTATAATATAATTTGCTCACAACTAAAAGAATGTGAAGCACAGGTGGGCAGAGTGCGGCTCACATGCCACATGTGGCCCGATGGCAGTTTTTTTTTGTGGCCCATGAATACAAATATAAAAAGTAGGAATTCACTATGATAATATTTTAGATTTTATATAGGCTAAGGCATATATTTGAATCATATGGTATTGTAAAATTGTATTCTAGTCTTGTACTGTTTTTCTAATTGTTTTAAAACCTGAATAAATAATTAAAAAAAATAAATACAAAAGTGTATTTTCAAATTGCCACCTATTAATATATAAATGATTTTAATACAAAATTTGTCAAAAAAAAAATCTAAATATGCTAGTTTCATTCTCAAAATCAAATGAATCACCGAGTATAGTGATAACATTTTAATACTACTACTACTACTACTACTACTACTACTACTGCTACTACTACTACTACTACTACTACCACTACTACCACTACTACTACTCTACTACTACTACTACTACTACTACTACTACTACTACTAATAATAATAATAATAATATTAATATAATAATAATAATAATAATGATAATAATTATAATAGTAACAAACATATAATACGCCAATTTAAAGCTTTATCAAACTAGACACGATTACGACAGGATACAGATGAGCACAGTGTTGAAGAAAACAAACTACACGATGATATAATAGGCACTTTTCGATTTTCACGTCAACGATCGACGTCCTGACTGATGTCATTTCAAGCACTGCGTGTGCGCGATCATCAACCCTCGCTCACCACCAGATTTGAGAAGGCGTTCACCCCGGTTTTCACCGTCGACCCAAATCTACTCGCCCTGTTGACTGTATGACGTCCGATACAGGACCCGCTGATAGGATCTTCATATTAAAGCAGAAGCCTATGCAATTTATAAGTAATTTCATCTCTGACATCGAACAAGTTTACAGTTTACAGGTCAATTAGTATTGTACAAAAGCACAAACTTTTCATCGTCAAGCACATTGCTGAAATATCCGAAGAGGATCGCTTCTCGGACTCTATGAAGATTCGCCATGATGGTATTAGGCATGATCCTTGCTCAAAATGTCATCATGTTGACTCCTCGTCAACTGAAATCGAAACTGATTTCAGCGGTGGATCACCATGAGCAGTGAACAACGTTGACGGTCGCCTGCAGTCGACGTGAACGTGCTCGTTGTTCACTCAATCGAAAAGTCTCTGTTGTCGTGTTGTTATCGTGTGTAGTGTAAATCTAGCTAAAGGCTCAGTGGACTGAGTGCACTTTTCAATGCTTTCTCCTCCCCTGAGGGTCGCTTCATGTCCTCTGCAGTTGGTAAAATGGTGCACTTTCTTCTGTCCACGACAGGGGCCGAATCTACCAGTGCACCTGCGGTACCCTCTACTCATCTCGAAAGATGTACTGGGTTTTTTAAAGTGCAATGAGCATTTGTGTACACTGGGTCTATGATAGTCCTTGTCTGAAAAGACTTGTTCCACCACCAGAATAGGAGCAAGTCGGCCGCAAAGTCGTGCCGATATTGTTGGCTATGGTTACGGTGTCCCTGCCTCGGCCATTTGACTCCCTTAATTTTAAGTCAGTTTTAAGAGTCGCATAATTAATTCTGCTTTTATCTAAACAGCCCTCAAAATTAGGGATAAAGCACGCCGACGTTAAAAAATTGACGCCGGTCCTACGTCGGCATTTTCAAAAAGTTGTCAAGTACTAGGCCTAAACCTAGGCTAGTACTAGTACAAGCCTACGTGGACCATCGGATCCCCAGAGTGCTGTGAAGTTCTAGGTAGACCTAGGCTAGCCGCAGTGATAAAAAATAAGCACTAACCATGGATGTTGAAATATGTTTACATGTTACTTTTGTGAAAACGAATTAAAACTAAAATACTCTGGGCATATTTATTCCTAAAATAAAAGCCACCACAGTCAAAAGGATAGCAAACTTTGGTAATGACGAACACGCTCGACTTGCTGTTCTTTCTGTTGGCGACGTACTGTGAGTTGGGGATCGCTTTTCACTTTCACTAAAATCAACGGAGAATACAGACAACAGCTACATGTGTGTAAGGGATTAACTTAGAAGTTCCGTTTTTTTTTTAATTAGTGTAATTTATTCGTGAAAAGTAGCAGTACGTTTCTGCACGTCGGCAATTTTCTCGCCGGCGACGGGTGCCTAGACGCCGGCGCTGCCGAATGCTGAAGTTAATTTTGAGGGCTGTTTAAAGTTATGGAGTTTATTGTTATTGATCTAATTATTATAATTGCTTTTACTACAGACATTTTACTGTAGAATGTGCTGCTCTAATTTCAGTGTTATATGGTGAATAAATCATTAAATGTATTACTGTACAAGTAAAGTTATTACTTAAATTTTATTTTTAAGTACTGGTCTCCCTCTAATTAAAGACCACTTTTGAAACAGGGGTTTGCATGGTATTTAGTAGTAGCTTGGTCTCTAATAATAAAGATAATAGACATTGTCAATGAAGGTGGTCTTTTTTTTCAAGGGTCTTTATTAATTACTGTAAATTATGGAGACCTGTATCTTAGATTTTCATTCCTGTCTACTTACATTATGATGTCTAATGGAAATTGTCACTCAACTTGTAAATATCAGATTTCCTTTAGTGATTAGTTCCAATATTTAACTTTGCGTTTGTGTTTACTTTACATTGGAATAAGCATAATGGGTTGTGTTGTACCCCATTGCTTGGCTGAACTGCATTCAAATCTACAGTGTAGTACGTTCTGTTACCTTAACCCTAAAGGTTGGTCTGGTTTACTTTTGCTTGATGTGTATAACTCAATCGTAGCGATCCCTTTGGGATTGTGGATGCTATTATGAGAAGTAGGCGAGTGTTCTGTGCTTAGTCATCTTTAAGAATGATTGTACAGTATCTCAGCTCTTACATACGACTAGCTTATACAAGCAATAGACAATCTAAATTTAGAACACACGTCCTACTTTTTTTTAATGTCTTCAGATCTGTATAGTGCTTTTTTGTATTAAACCTTGTTCACAATTTTATATTTTCTTTTGACAGAAACCGTTGTATGCCCACGGATAGTCATGATGTGTCTCAATATTTTTTTATAATATAAGTTGACTGTCTATGGTCATGATTTGACGGCATCATGACCATATTAAGCATTTCACATGCTTTTATCAAATAAAATTTGATACAGTAGTTTGGACAAGACAATTAATACAAAATACAAATTTCTTTTTACTTAATAGTGATTCTTAATCATAAGTTCGTTTTTGTCGTTTTTGTTTTTTTTTTTTTTTTTTTTGGTTATTATTTTTCTAGCATGCTAGAATTTCACCGTACACCATAAATTCATTCACATGATCAAGTAATGATTATTTTTTAAAACATATTGAACATCATATGAGGTGAATCTGATACATACTGTAGAATGGTATGTTAAGTTGCCATGGTAAATACTCTGCTCATCAAACACGGAGATCTCCGTGTCTGGTAATGTAATGCTTGACCGCCAAACACACAGGTCTGTGTTTCAGGTTTTTTTTTATGGAATCCGATAGATGGGGTACAGTAATTACCAACATGTACTGTAGTAACAATTTGAACACTATATTCAGTCTGGAACGTAAGTATTTCACTAATTGTTTGTTCACATTAGCGTAGAGCGGTATTGATTTACTTTCACAAAATACCGATAATCTCAGCTTTATTTTGCGAAAATTGCGTAAATCAAATAAATTACACTAATTAAAAAAAACGGAACTTCTAAGTTATCCCTTACACACATGTAGCTGTTCTGTCTGTATTCTCCGTTGATTTTATTCAACGTGAAAGACGATCCCCAACTCACACATTCTGCAGTACTGTACGTCGCCAACAGAAAGAACAGCAAGTTGAGCATGTTCGTTCGTCATAATCTCAGCTTTATTTTGCGAAAATTGCGTAAATCTCCAAACGTGGCTCTTTTTTATTGTTAAGGGTTACAGATTGTGATTAGAATAAAGTGTTTAGTACTATGCTAAAATGTTTGTAGTTCTTGTATATTCACTACATGTCAGTCTGATCACATATGCACCACTCTCAACGAGCTCAATAGGAAAAGTGTTGAAAGTTGCTAAACAGTCTGGCAGTGGTCGATACTATTTTTTCAAACCCCTTGCGGTCAAAATTTTAAGATTCATTAATCTCAGCTTAGCAAATGTCTTAAGTCAAAAAAGTTTAAATATCCCTGAGCAAATATAAGCTGATTTATTAAACCATCTGTAGCAAATTCTTAGCTTAAAAATTGTCCTAGATGGTTCATGCGTACAATCGACTTTTTAATTTTATGCAATTTTTAAGTTAAAGCAATATTGATAAATTTGACTTAAGCAAAAAAATGGACTTAAGATAAATCTAAGCTGATTTCTAGTTTGATAAATCCAGCCCCTGGTATCAATTTATTACATTAATGTCAATCATTTATATATGTGGATTTTACATGATGTTCAGTAAACATTTAGATTGGCAGGGTGATTGTGAAGATGGTATGTAAAAACTAGCAGAACAACAGAGTGCAGAACATCATATGTCTTTTGTAGCCATACCCATGGCATTTCAATACAGTACAGTAGGCCTACTTTACCAAATATTGATTATAGAAAAAAAGTCCTTCAATCAATAAAAGTAGGGTGGATAAACTTAGAGTGACAGGCAAGAATGTCTAAGGATGACAGGATGGGTAAAGAGCTATAATACGTGAATTGCAGTGTCATGAAAAGTCAACACACATCTACTGTTTATTTAATGTTATGTTGGAAACCAGGAAATTGTACTGTGTACTTTAGATCAGAAAAAAAGGTCTGTAACAACATAAGAAACAGAATCACTGTTCTCTATGTCATGTTGGGTCAATCATTACATGCAACCGTAGCTTGGTTTACAGTGCCCAGATGGGTGCTACAGTAACCTTCGTTGTAGATTTTTGCGTATCAAGTTAAGATGAGAGTTTAGTGCTGTAGATGCATGGATGGATGTAAACATTGATTAAATGCAAGAAGGGTTGATACTGTACACCAATTTTTATTTTTTTTGTTTGTTTGTTGGGGGGGTGGGGAGTTGTCCACTTATACCCGAGGTGATTCATTTCAAATTGACATTATGTTGTATAATTTGAATAAGAATTTATATTCTTAAAAATAATTACATACAGATCTATTTTCTGAATCAGTGGCAGATTCAAAGGTGGGCAACTAGCTTGTGCCCCCTAAATTTTTCAAAATTACTTTAAAAGTGGAGAAAAAAAAAGAAACTGTATTACCATTTACTTAAAAGCCCAAGAGTGCCATTTCTGGCCATCTAGATGTCCCATAATCATATTTTTTCCTACTCAGCCCCAATCATGATGGGGATTGGTCTAAACCCTCCATTTGTGAAAGATCCTCCCTGGGCCCCCCTCAATTCCAAATCTTGAACCTGCGAAGTTAATATCTGAAATATGATTCCTCTCAGAACCAGACATCATGGATGATGTTACACCGCAAAATGATCAAATTTGTTGCTAAGCTATTGGTACAGTATAGTTGGCAACCATACATTGCATTGCTCAGCAGAAGTCTATTGGGATAGTTGACGTTTGTTCAGAAGTGTTGAACATAAACACGTTGTTATTGACTTCTTGTAAGAGTGCTTAGGAATGTGTGATGCGTGACAATCTATTCCGTTGGCACTAGGTGGGAACAGCAGTTGTCACCTGTACAGGTACATTAAACAAAAACATGTTTTCAACAAATTGTTTGATAGAGAGAGGAAACATGTTTGATAAATTGATTATAATCACCCTTTGGGAATTGAGGACAAGTATTCAGAAGCAATCATCTTCAACCACATTTTATTATAATTTTCATTCTTTTTATCTTGGAAAATTTCATGAATATTTATAAATAAGTCTTTTCATCTTTTTTTTTTGGTTTATAAATTGTTTATGCTACAATTGTCGTAGTGAGTACAAACTCATATTATTTTAACAATTGGATCAACTAAAATTATATAACTATAATAAGTCTATATAACTGTTAAAATCTTTTTTCACACCCTGAATGGGAAGTCCATTAGAATATAAACAATAGTATGTGGATTGACTTTATTTTATCAGGTTTGGCTCAAATCCCATCTTTAATCTTTTTATTTTAATTCTAAACTTTATTCATTTTCTTTTGGTTTTGTATTCTTCCTTTTTTGTGCACTTAGCTGTGGTTTCTCAGCGCATAGAGATAAAATGTTATTGTTCAAAGTTATGTGCTTTATGCGCTTTGCAAGTATATTGTTATATTACTGCCTTATTAAGAGATTATATTTTTAAGAATTTATTGAAGTGATTCAAAGTAGGCAAATTGAGTATAATATCATTTAAATGACAATGATTGAATGTCATAGAACTGAGTTTATTGTAGTACAACAGAAATTGTCCAATTTGTGTGTTACTACTTTTAGGCAAGTTCTGTTTATTTATGATTGATTCAGCTTTTTTTTTTTAATCTTCTGTAGTGCTACAGATATCTGGAGTGGGTTGAATAACTTTGTGGTTAAGATGTTTGCCTTCTAATCCCAGGGTTCTAGGTTCAATTCCTATATGACAGTAGCAGGGGTTTATTGAAGAGCCGGCGGCCGGCGCATTCGATCGGCTACTACGATGTTTTCGCCGGCTACTTCAATCAATGCTGTACAAAAATTAATACAAAAACCACCAATATAAATAGCGCAACAGGCCTGTAAAGAACCTTATTTACCTACACGAAGTTAATTTGCAATAGTATGCACTCATTTCGAAGTTCCTTTCAGTTGAAAGTTCGTTAAAAAATGTCTACCAATTTTCAGACTCCATTTCATGAACTCGCAGAACTCTTCAACGCAGATCTAGGGCATAGGCCTAAATGGTGAATCCCCACAAATTTCAAATTTGTGAAAAGTAAACAACTTCATCATTATAAAAATTGTATTTTCAATTTTTTTTGGTGGATTTTATTAAATGTGTATAAACTTAAAAAAGAATGTATTTCAATTATTGAATCAATATTCTGACCTTAAATTCCGATGTTGAGATCGAAAAATTTGTAAATTCTAGGCCTATTCTAACCTACTCAGTAAGTATACTAATCAAGGAGGTTCTGATCATCACTGCATGTGATTGCACATGTGCAACCACTGTGCAGTGTATACTAAGAAGTTCAAATGGGAAACTAATTTTCCGTATCATATGACATACCACAGACCCGTAGCCAGGGGGGTTTTTAGGGGTTCGGGCGAACCCCCCTTTTTCAGCGAACCCCCCTTTTGCCAGCGAACCCCCTTAGCCAGAAAACGATCCCCCGTTTCCAAGATAGTGCAATTTATCCCCCGCTTCCAAGATAGTGCAATTTATTACAAAATGGGAGCATTTTTGGCACTGTTTATTTGTCGCTATCGATCGTAGAAATCAAAACAAAGCTGCAGCCAGCTGAATGACGTAACCAGCAAGACTTCAAAATATAATGAGAGGTTTGTTGCCTAGGCTATTTGACCAATCGTGTGCTCCGTAGTTTATTTACTTTGGCACGACGTCATCACAAAAGTTTGGGTGCTCGATATTTTTCATTTCTTTGGGATCGAGGACATGCGACACGCCAAAAATAGCCTAGGAGGAGGATGAAGCGCCGAGAAAGGATAACCGATTTTTTTGCTTCAAGGCCAGCAACGAAGAAATCACGAAATTTAAGAAGTTAGAAAATTCACCCTTGTTTTCACCACATGCTCATGATACTGCCTGGCGGCGGGACCGGTGTACTTTTTCGGGCTAGGCCTAGGTCTAGCGTTGCTAGGTAGGGTAGGGTCGTAGCCTATATGAGGACTATTATTTGCGAACGATTTTATTATTTATTTTGTAATCGAGCTAGCCAGGGCCTAGGCTAGCTAGGCTAGCAAGGAAATATACTTGGTAATGTTTTCACGTTTCGTCAGAATTAACTGACATTATTC